CCCCAAAACCCCAAAACCCCAAAACCCCAAAACCCCAATTTTATATCTAATAATTGAACTGTTCCAATCATGACTGACGCAAGAGAGATTCTAATACCCCGGTTTATCTACATCAGGGAGATCAACTCTAAAGCTCAGACCTGATCAGCGATATTGAAATATTCAAACTCAAAGCAAGCCATCAGGGTTTATAGAGGAGTTTCGGAATTTATACAAGATTTGGAAGCCTACAAGTCTAAAAATGAGCATCTTGAATTCACCAATGTCAAAAATTTGTATGGAACCATGGGTGTTATTCGGAGAGGTACCAGAGAATACCTCTTGCTTATTGAAGAATGCACCTTGATCGGCCAGATACTTAAAGCCAATATCTTTAGAGTTGATGAAATTTTAGTAATTTCTCTACAAGAAGAAAATGAGGAAGACATGGAGTACACAGACTCAGTTAAAGATCTTGTCAATGATCAATCTTTCTATTTCAGCTATAATTACAATCTTACTCATTCTTTACAGGAAAATATTCACAAAGGACTTCTAGTTGAAGAGTCGAAGCAATTTTCTGATGAAGACTGATCTGAAGAGTATTTTCCCAATTATGATAAAAAATTTATTTTTAACAAACTCCTTCTGTCACGACTTAATAATTGCTCAAATGAGCATCTATGGCCTTTCATAGTTCCATTAATCTATGGGGTTGTTAGTATAAATTCAACCTATCTAGACGAAAATAAGGTTGGTATCATCTTGATTTCAAGAAAAGACTGTAACCGCCTAGGAAGAAGATTTACTTCAAGAGGTATTGATGACGAAGGAAATGTATCAAACTTTGTAGAGACAGAGCATATTCTTATCCATTATGAACAGGATTTCTGCCAAGTAGCTTCTTATACCCAGATTAGAGGTAGTATACCCTTGTTCTGGACTCAGAAACCAACTCTAAAATATGCTCCAACCATTGGAATCTGAACTGATGATGACAAGAATAAAGCTGCAGCTGAGAAACATTTCTCGAACAATATTGAAAAATATGGTGATCATGTTCTCATCAATCTTGTTGATAAAAAGGGATCCCAAAACAAGATAGGAACGGCTTTCACAAATTTAATAAAATCCCTCAATAATGAGAGGCTCCATTATGAATGGTTTGATTTTCACGGCGAGTGAAAATAATATGCAATGGGAAAATCTCAAGATTCTCATAAATAATATCAAAGAGAAAATTGATGAACAAAAATACTTTATGGCAAGCCTTGATCACACTTTTGATAAAATCGGCAAACTTACTCAATCGAATTGTAAAATCACCCAAACCCAAATTGGTGTCTGAAGAACAAATTGAATGGATTGTTTGGACCGAACAAATGTAGTCCAGTCTGTCATCTCAAGACTAATAGCTCACAGACAGCTTTGGAAGATGAATATCCTGGATGAACCCAAAGGAGATGTATTCGAGTCTTTTCCAAAAGAATTTGATGCTCTTTTCAGACAAGCTTGGACTAACAATGCTAATGTGTGAAGTATTCTCTATTCAGGAACCCCAGCCTTAAAGACAGACTTTACTTTGACAGGCAAGAGAAGCGCTAAAGGAGCAGTTGTTGATGGAATTAATTCTGCTAAAAGATACTATATCAACAATTTCTGTGATTCATATAATCAAGATATCCTTGATTCAACAGTGCTAAGCATAGACCTTAATAAAGATGGTAATTTTGAAATCGCTCTATCCTCCAGATTCTCTTTATTCAGTTTTATTGCTTCCAACTCATTAGTTCATATTTTTAGGAGTAAGTGATCACCAATTAGAAAAGGAAAAGGACAGTACAAATGGATACACTATGAAATTCATACACTTGATTACTGTTGCTGGAATTGCTGGCTTCACTCTCAAAAGTTTGTTCCAATAATCATCTTTGAGTACAGTAGCAACCTCCAGGTTCTCTATCCAACAATTAGGTTAACTATTATTTCAAATTTATTCATCATAATTGAATCAATAAGGTTCTCTTCAGATGGGGTTTTGGGGTTTTGGGGTTTTGGGGTTTTGGGG